AAAAAAAAACAAGATAGAAATTGAAAAAAAAGGACTCCGCACCTGTTCAGCACGTTTTCTATCGTCGGGGCTTGTAACAGATCCTCTGATGAATGAAGTGACAATGGTCAATCCCTTTCCTGCTTTGAGTTGAGATGCCAGATTCAAAAGGTTCAGATATCTCACGTCAACCAATTCCTTTGCCCAGGGCATTGAAAGAATAAGTAGCAGTTGAGGGCTAAAAAGATATTTACATTGCATTTTATGAAGTTGGAAGTGAAAGCGGAAACTGACCGCCAATTCTTTGGATGAGGGTCTTTTTCTTCGATTTTCATAAGTGAATACTGAGCGGTGGTAAGAGCCAAACCTCTGATACCATCACCCCATTCCTTCTTGGCACTGAAAAAATAATCCTTAATTTTTCGATAACCGCCCCCAATACAAAGCAGGTAACGAACCCTTTCCACTCGACGTATTTGTAAATAAGAAGGCAAAGGAAGATTGAAACGAGAGCATAATCCCAATGGGTAGAGAACATGATGAAGAAGCATAGCACAGCACCAAGAAGGGAAAGAGACCTGCAAATCAACAGGTGATAGAGAAAAAAATTGATAAAAGTAGTTACTGAATCTTACCAGTGGTAATACTGGAAGCGAGGACGCCAGTTGGGAGCACCGAGCAGGGAATGCATGGTGCAGATGATGTTGACAAAAGCGTAGCACATCAAAAAGAAGAAGTCTACAACAGCGGCGATACTGTCCATAGCACCCAAAAGGATAGCTGCCTCGGCGATGACAATCGTAATAATCAATCTAAAAAGCAAATATTTTCTCACTCATAGTATTTTTTGGCTGCCATAAAGCCTCAATATCTCACCCAAGGAAAGGTTCGTTATTTTTGGTGACTTTTTTGAACGGGCTAAGGATAGGTATCACATCATCTTTGGCAATACTTTGGAGAAGACGAGGAGCAGAACATAGGCATTGTAAAGCTGCTCCAAATGTTGAAAGGAATGAACCGCCCAGCAAAACCCAAGAGCTAGGCCAAGACAATTCGCCGACAATCATCGAGCCTCCCATAGACTGGCCATTTCTAAATCGTAGACGTTCAGCGAAATTTATTGAAAGAAAAAAAGAAAGATAGGCAAAGAAAGAAAAGAAAAAACTCACTTGTCTCTCAAGACACTACCGTCAATAGCGGCTCCAAATACAAGAGCCAAAGAAAAGTATACGAAGGATGTGGTCAATTGGGCAGCAATCGTACCAGTGGGGATCGATCTCTGCGGATCCTTCAGATCACCTGTCATAAGAGAAAATATAGCTTCTTTGTGTGGTAGAGAGGAACTACTGAGCATCCAAACTGGCTGCTGGTATTGAAATCAAAGAAGTTATGATGTATAGGTTGTCTCAATGTGAGTGTCAAAGTTCCGGCGGCTTGGATCTGCGCGGCCGCTTCGCTCGGCTTTGCGCCACGTTCGCGAAGATAAGCTTCGA